GGAACCTACTTCAAAGTGTCGCGCGCCAAAGCCGCAAGGGAACATCGGCTACCTCGCTGCCACCACCGCTGCCACCGCCAGCTTCGCCACCGCCGCCTCCAGCGGCAGCTGCAACAGGCCCTCCACCGCCGCCCCCTGCGGCAGCTATGCCGCTTTGGCCGAAGGCGGCGTGGCAGTCCGAGGTTTCGCCGACGGCAAAGCCTATCGCGGCGCCATCGGCAGCGGCCCCTGCAGCGGCAACTCCAGCGCCGCCTCCAGCGGCGCGTCAGCCGCCTCCGAAGCAGCCGACGCCACCTGCGCAGCCGCCGCCTCAGGCTCTGCTGCAGCCTCCAGCGCCGCCTCCAGCGGCTCCACCAGCGGCAACTCCAGCGCCGCCTCCGAAGCAGCCGACGCCACCTCCACATCCGCCGCCGCAGGCGCAGCCTGGCCCCCACGGCTGGAAATCGCCGAACGGGGAGCCGTGGAGGGCGGGGGTCAACGGCGGCAAGAAGCGGTACGGCATCAGCGGTGGCCGCAATCGCGATTACTACCGCTTGCTGAAGCGCGCGCAGAATGAGGGCCCTGCGGCTGTGGCTGCGTTCAAGGCGCAGAACCCGCACCCGAAGGAGCCCGAGAGGGCGTGGCAGTTCTACCAGAACGCCTTGCACGTCGCCAGGACGGTCTCGCCACCGCCGCCAGCAGCAAAGGCGGAAACCAGCAGCACCGCGGCCAGCAGCAGCAACCAGCTCGGCAAACCGCCTGCACCCATGAAGCCGTTCCTTTGAGTAGCGGGCGCGACCGCTGAGCTTGTAGCGGGCGCGACCGCTTAGCTTTGCAGCGGAAGCGACCGCTTAGCGGATGCGACCGCTCAGCTCAGCGCTGCAGTAGCGGGCGCGACCGCTAGGAGGACGATGGGGGAGATGACGAGCAAGACGAGGAGGAGAGGACGAGCAAGGAAACGAGGAGGAGGAGGAGGGGGACGAGCAAGGAGACGAGGGCCACCATAAGGATGGCGACGAGAAGGGAGCGCGGGAGGGGGAATACGATAAGCGGCAAGCCCATGTCCGACGCGCCTCGCATCGGGCGCACCCCCGCGCCCCGCGCGGAGTTACAAAATAGCGTGCTCTCCAGCATCTGCCCCAGGCTCCCGCGCAGCTGCCGCGCTTCCCCCTCGTCCCAACACCTCCTCTTCATAGCGGCCAGGCCGCTTTTCCTATTCTTCCTCGTCCGTCCACCTCCATCGTCCTTCATCAGGTATAAGTAGCGGCCAGATCGCTTCGCCTCTCACCCTTCTCCTGCGCCATCTCCTCCACCATATCGCGGCCAGACCGCTTTGCACCTCCCCCTTCTCCTGCGCCACCTCCTCCACCCATGTGGCGGACAGAGCGCTTTGCCTCCCCGTCTGTCCACCTCCATCGTCCCTTCCACCGAAATAGCGGCCAGATCGCTTTGCGCCTCCTCCTTCTCCCGCAACCCCTGCCTTTGCCAAACAGCGGCAAGACCGCTTTGCGTCTTGCCATCGCCATGCAGCCTCGCATTGGTTGCGCCACATCCTTGCCTTTCGGATCGAGCGCTGACCTGCGAGCTCCGCTGCCGCCTCCTCGCGAGGCACGCCGCTTCCCGCCTCTCGAGCGAGGCTCCGCTCGAGGCTCCGCCAGCGCGCGAGCGATGCCGAGCGATCGCGTCGACGACGACGACACGTGCACGCAGTGGTGGTTCCATGAGTGCCCGTTCAGCCACAATTGCCCGCAGGATAAGTGGGTTAAGCGCTCTCACACGTGCCAGCGCTGGGTCTCCGAGGCGGACGCGCGGGATAAGCTGTTCATGCACCTGCGCTGGAGCGACAAGCACGAGCGATCTGGATGGCATGACGGACGACGAGCTCAAGGTGTTCGCGGAGGCGGTCGAGGGCGATTATCGCCTCATCAACGAGAGGGGCGACGAGTACAGGCGCTGGATGAAATGGGAGGCGGAGAAGCAGGAAAACAAGAGGCTGGCTGCAGAGACCATCGACCGCAAGCAGTACGGCGACAAGGCCCGCCGCAACGACGACGACAGGGACCGCCGCGACGACGACAGGGACCGCGACAACAAGAGGGCTCGCCGTGGTCGTTCTGGCAGTGGCGTCGACGCGGAGCAGATCGCTGAGTTGGTGGCGTCCAAGCTCGCCGCATCAGGGGCTTCATCTGCAGCGCCCTCAGCAGCAACGCCAGGGACGGCATCGAAGTCACCAGCCGTGTTGGCGCGCATGCATCAGGGCAGTGGTGCCATCGTGGACAACGCCGCGAGGGTGACCATGAGCCTCGGCGAGCTCAAGGCGCTCCAGGACGACGTCAAGCGGTGCAGCAGGGCGTCGAGCCAGATGTTGCGCTTCCTGGATGGCGCCAGGGTCGCGTTCTCGAACGAGCTGCAGACGTTCAACGACGCCGACGAGACCATCCAGCAGCTCGTCGATGCGCACTCGTCGGGGCCGGTCTTCGGCGGTCGCGGCTGAGCGGCATCTGCAGTGGCTCGTTTTCTTTTCTTCTCATTGCCATCGAGAATCTCACAATCGCAATCTCACCGTCGAGAACCTCACCATCGAGAATGTCATCCTTCTTTAGTTGCTGCGAGCCTGTTCGTATTAGAGCACTTCGCGTCTTGCGTTGGAGACGCCCCTGTTTAGCCAGCGCCCAGCGGAGTTCCGCTCGAGACGGCAACGCTCGAGCTTTGCGCGGCTTTGCAGGAGACAGAGGCTGCGCGAGATCCCTTGCCGTCCATTCCTGCTCCTTTTCTTCCTCCTCCTCCTCCTCCTCCTCCCCCTCCTCCTCTTCCGATAGCGGCCAGTCCGCTTGCATGCGTTTGCGATGTTGCTACAGCGGCCTGGCCGCTTGCATGGGTTTGCCAGATTTGCTTGTTATAGCGGTCTGTCCGCGTTCATTCTTCTCCGCTTTCACCTCCCCCTCCTCCTCCTCCTCTTCCTCGCCCCCCTCCTCCTCCTCATCCTCCTCCTCCTCCTCTGCCCCCTCCCCCCCTTCCTCCTCGGCGCCCCTCCTGGGGTCTCGGCGCCCCCTTGGTGCTGGCACCCCTGGGCCTCGGCACCCCCAAATCCGAAGCTCCGAAGCTCCTCGCATTCCTCTTCCTCCTCCTCC